GTGGGCAAAAGGGGGGGAGGGGGACACCTGCAATAATGTCAACATTAAAAATTTTAATAAAAATTTCAAGAAAAACAAGAAATTCAATAAAATTTTTTATGCATTGAATGGTCCAGTTATAGTGGAGATCTTATTATTTTTAAATGAACTGAAAAGTAGATCATCCTGTAACGTGAAATATTGTTTTTTGTAATACAAGTAATTATGCCCTTATTGAAGCCTGGGGTTCTGAATCCTTACACCAGATTCTCCTAAGATGACGCATGACATTACTTATTTCAGGTGACTGTTTCTGGGCTTTATCTTCGCCTGAGCACCTGATCAGTCCCCGGCGACGCAGCGGTGGCGCACCTGTTCACGGGCCCTCGCTTCAGGGGACTCTGGGGACTGAGCGGTCAGAACAGCGACAGTCTTCCCTGTCAAAAAAGATCCACCTGCAGCTGGACTCAAGCTATTCCACAGCCTCGGAAACTCTGAGTCCAGGCAGTTGTGTGAAAAGATGACATCACAAGCCTTCATTCATAATGAATATCACATGTATCAGGCAATGGCCGTTAGGTAACATCGAGAAGAGTTAGTTTGTAGGTCGAATGGCTTTTCAAGGCATCTACGAAGCAACTAGTATTTCTACACATGAAGTATCCCACTGCTTTATGGCAGGCTCAGGGAAACTTGGATTAAAAAGTATAAAAAGTAGGGTCTCGTGTCAAGGCAGAAACACTTAGAGCCAATCAGGTTAGAAAACAGGTGTCTAAGGAAAAGCCACCGGACGTCACCCACTCTGCAACAAGGACAAGCCAGGCGGTGGGGATGCACTCAGGTTTGTGCCATGTAGGGTGACGGAGTCTCTCAAAGTGGCAGCACTTACGGCATTGGGGTTCCAAATCCTGCCCTAGCAGGACTGGCTACAAAATTCGGGGCCCAGCGCAAAAGGAAAATGTTAAAAGGTTATTAAAAATTTCAAGATGGTGAGAGTAGAGCATTAAACCAATCGGGGCCCTTCCAAACACGAGGCCC